CCCATATTTATATTTTTGCTTAAAATTAGAGCACACTGTAGCTAAAGGTATTAAATGTATTTGTGGAGGTCAATTCAAACTAACCAACCAAGATTTCCTGTTTCAAAATAAGCTATCATGAAGCTTGGGCCATCCTCTCTCCTCCTCTGTTTCACATACCACAGAACAAAAACAGAAACTTCTGCCTCTGGTTTAAACTAATCAGTTTTCTCTGGCATTTGAATCTGGGAAATTGTGACTTACCTTCCACTTTGAATCCAGAAGTTGCATGACATGGTAGATGCTATACCAAGATGTCAGTGTCTGCAGTGTCCTTCCTATGGGAGCATTTGAAACTTGCTATGTTACCAGGTAGCCTCACCCATTCCATTTTTCTGTGATTTATTCTGTCACCCAAGAAGGGATCTACAGCACACCCTCATTTTTCTCTTTGGTATTGTCCCCCCCCCCCACCACCACTTGGAAGCCTCACTAGGACCATTCCACTAAAAATGTATATAAATATTGCCAGGCACTGCCACTGAGTGTGTTTTATTTCCTAATCCACAGCAGGTCCCAAAATGTCACTACTGATCAGGAGAAAAGGCTTCTCCAACAACTCCGAGAAATTACTAAAGTCATGAAAGAAGGCAAACTTATTGACAGCATCTCCCCTGAAAAAGAAGCAGAAGAGGCTCCTTATATGCAAGACTGGGAAGGTGAGAGTAAAGTCTGCTCAGCTTGATATCAGCCGTCATTCTGTCTTCAAAACTATCTGAATCCCTGGTTCTCCTGGTCATTGAGAGTTCCTATAGACTCAGCACGCGAGAGACTATTTTCAGTTCCCTAAGGGAAGCTCTGTGATGGTAATGCATGCTGGTAGGCATATAGGGTTGGGTTTCCAAACCAAGAGCCAGGTGAATCCACCGGTAACATCTGGGACTATTGTGGAACTCCATAGTGTGTACAGGAAACACTATTTTGTCCTACACTGGGCAGCTTTAAAATGAAGTAGAACCAGCTCAATAAATTTTGTTTCATAACAGAGTCCTTGCTCTTATTGCATGTATCATGCTGGCCAACCCAACTGGCAACTGAATCTAGCTTCAGATAGAATAGTGCATGCCATTGTACCTTAGGGCAGCAAGCTAGCCAAGGAGATACAGGGCAATCTTTTCCTTTTCCTTTACTGCCACACTACCCTAGCATCCAAAGATTAAGGCACCAACTTCATTTGGCCTAAGAGTAGAGCTTTTCTTGGGACAACCTTATCATCCCACCATAATCCCTGTATCTCAGTTCCTCTACTTAGTTCATTTGCTAGATTTGCACAAGGCATTTCTCTCCAGAAGAGTGGAACTCTTGCAGGATTGCAAGATGGTTAAAGGGTACTAGGCATGTATGTTAATTAATTGCTTATCTAAAGCATAGGTACCCATTCCTAGTCCAAATGATGCCAGAATGCCAAAATGCATATCATGATATTGTGGCACTGCACAGAAGTATACTGTATAAGGGACAACGTTTGTGTCACAACATTGCAATAACCTAAGGTTCTACTAGAGGAAAGTGGAATTTGTTCCTGGAAGGCAACATGTACTCCAAATGCAAACTCCTATTTTGTTAATCATGGTTAACAGGAAACTGTGCTATATAATATTCCATATGTAACATATGATCCAATCTAGCTAGTGTGGTAAGCTACCCAGAGTGTTAAAGGAGTGGGTATCATATCAGTTTCTAAGTAAATAAAATAAACTTGTTCCCAAGGGAGAATTGCAATCTGAATCCCAAGACATGAACTCACTTATTTAAGCCTAGAGTTGCCTTTCTTATTCTGAGACACTTGTCCCCTGCTCCCAGCATGTAAGGGTCATGACCAAACTGCTTGTAAACATCACCTACCATCCTTCATCCCTGCTTTCTCCCTCTTCCCTCCCCACCTACAATATTGCTCTCCAGAGGCCTCTACACCCAGCCCTGGTGTCCCTGCCTCCACCTTCCACTCTAACAGGACACCCCTTCTCTGCTCTCTGCCAAGCTCCCCAGGGTCACTTTAAGCCTCCTCCAAACAGTGGTAGGAAGTAGGGTCTGTCTCTCCCCTGATCCTTTATTTGGCTGGTTGTTTTAGATAGCTGCAGCCATCCACTGTTTTTTATAAGGTAAATGAGAGACAGAGAGAGAGAGAGAGAGAGAGTGTAAAAATGGCACTTTGTAGTTACAAAGTGAGGTGTATACAGGTACCACATTGCAGGTTTGTGTGTGTGTGTGTGTGTGTGTGTGTGCCTTTGAGTTGGTTTTTGACTCATGGTGACTGCTAGACCATTCCCTGCAGTTTTCTTGGCAAGATTTCAGAAGTGGGTTGCCATTGCCTCCTTCCTTGAGCTGAGAGAGAGTGACTGGCCCAAGGTCACCCAGCTGGCTTTGAGTCCAGGGTGGGACTAGAACTCACAGTCTCCCAGTTTCTAGGCTGGTGCTTTAACCACTACACCAAACTGGCTCTCGTGTTTCCAAGTAAGCTCTATTAATCTAAGATTCCAGCAACGTTGGCTTGAAATAAAGTATGACTGCAATTAATGTCATTTACCATACAGTTTCCCAAAGTTCCCAAAATCTGGAAACTCTTTTATCAGAAATTCTGATAATGTTGGGAATGAGGTGTTTGGATTCACTGTATAATCTAAGACAAGTTTATTTTATGTCTTAAGGTTATCCAGAAGAGACCTTTCCTGTTTATGATAATTCTGATTGCTTCAGGCACAGACAGGACACGATTCTGGTAGATTGCCCAGATCCAAGCCAGCCTTCTGCTGAAGAGATAGCTGAGAGAATGGAGTTTCTGGACAATGAGGACTGTTTGTGTAGTGAAACTCTTTTGTCTGCTCTTGCCATAGTGAACAATGGCTCTGCAGCAGGATCTGAGAAGAACCAGCAGACCACATTCAGTGCTCAGAGTGGGACTGGCCATAACTTTGAGGAATGCTATTGTTGCCACTATGAAGAGGATGATCCTGCTGTTCTAGCAGAAAATTCAGGATTCTTCTCTGATAGCTGCAGTGAAACAGAAGAGCTAGTCAAAGGGGAGCTGCTGGTGGATTGTGATTATGAAAATATGGTATCTACAGAGCAAAAGGATGGAGATCCCGATGAAATTGGTATCCTAAGAAAGCGAAACACAAAAGGCACTGAGTTGCTAGGACACTGAGGATTGTGCACAATCATGTCACTTGTACAGACTGTGATCTTTGCTTTTAGGACAAAGCTTATCTTCTCTGTTGTGTGTCCAGTTGAAATCCTGCAACAGTATTAATTGTCTCCCTTGCTGTAGCCTCCAAAGATTTTGAAAACACGATCATTTTACACAGTTTTTCTATGCACTTTTCTTCAGCTTTTGTCTTCAAGGGTACAGCTTAGGTTTACTGCATTCCCTAGCCTGTAAAAAGTGCAAAAAGCAATCCAAGAAGAGGGAATGTTTTCATTTTTCTCAGTATATTTATGTATTAAGAGCAAAACTAGTCCTATGTCGGCTGATGTGGTTCATTTTAGTAGCATACATGGGCAGCAAATGATCAATACACTTAATCATTATAAGAAGTACAGGTTAGATAGATTTTTTTTTGTTCCTTTTGCTAAGAGATACAAACCTTTCATATCTTAAAATGAAGAAATTACGGCATGCAAAAGATATTTTATAGGCCTGTGCGAATATTCAATTGATGTGGTGGTTTGATTCAAATTCAAAGCTGAATCTCTGAAGGGATGTGAAATATCAAATTGAATTGGTTGTTAAAACTGTACAGTGGTTTGGATTTGATTAAGAAGAGATTTGTTGGATCACACAAGAGTGAAACACCTGCCTGTGACTCATTAAAACTGCCTCATTTTTATGGGACCATGCAGCTGCTGCGGGGAGGCTTGCACTGCAGTCGTGCAATCCTGGGAACAGATGTGAATGCTTCCTAAATGAATTTGCAAACAGATGCTGAGTCTGCATTCAGGCTCCTGTGGTTCCAAAAGCACCACTTGTGAATCAAATCTGAAGCATTGCACACCTATATTGGACACTTCTGAAACAATTTGAAAAGATTAAGTCCTAATTTGGAGATTTGACAAGCTTTTGTGCATGTGCACATTCTTTTCCTAATAGAAGTGAAAGTCTAGATTGATCTATTTCCCCAATCAGTTCAGAAGTCTAAGTAGAATAGGTGTGATTTTTCAAAGGTTCCAAAATTGGAATCAGCTCAAGGTTGATTTGCACATTCTTAGTACTTCAGTGTCACCCCGTGCAGGAAAATACCAGCTGATCATCTTGCCTGGTAGCCAGAATTCTCCATAATTGATTGGTTGCTTCAGTCAACGCCAGTTGGGACCTTCAAAATATATTAGGTTGCAATTTCCATTGTTTCCTGGGAGTTCGATGACTTGCCATTGGATGGGAAGTGACAGGGATTTTTCCCCACGTACTGTCACAGATTGGTGCAATCTAAGTATCTTTTTCTCAGTCTAATTAAGAAAGGCCAGGTGGTGTCATTTTTGCAAAGATTGCTAATATATTTTTAAAAGAAACAAGCAATCTCTGTCATCTCACCTATAGCTCATTGTTTGCTATCTTGCTTTTACACTGATGGCTTTTATTACATCTTGTCAAATTACATTTCAGCCTGAGTGTGTTTGGATATAATTTAGATGAAATGAAGTCAGAACAAAAGTTGTGCAAGAAACTGATGTAGAACTTTTCTTAGCAGCATAGTGAAAATCTTAAGAAACAAGGGGATTGCATGTGATACTCAGGATAAACGTTATGATGGATAAACCAGGTATCATTGTATTCCGTTTCTGCATATTTGCAAAGCAATGGTAGCTTGATCTACACTGGAATATTTTTTTGCTTAATAAGATGATTTCCATATTAGTGACTTATAACATCTGCACAGCATCACTCAGGTACATTGAAGTGATATAAAGCCTACCCACATTACTGCTATTTTGGCACAAAAATGGTTGGATGATCCTAGAAAATGCTATAAATTACTATGCAGAAATGTCCTATATGTTAAAATTGACTGTAAATTATAATTTTTAATATTTAAATGTATTAATTTATGTAAGTCTGCCTTCAAAGGAATACACTCGTAGGAAGAAGGGTCATACTATGTCTGCTTTGTCCAGCACAATCATGTCTGTCTGTCTCTTTTCAAGTAAGGATGGGGAGGACTGAGCCAAGCAATATTAGCCATATGGACTGAGAAATAAGTCTTGTCAGAGTGAATGAATTTGCTCCAGGTAATTATGTATCACCTGCAGTTACGTGGGAGGAAATTCCATCATAATTCAGGGGGACTTATTTCTTAGTAGACATTCATGTAGAGCCTTTGTAGCTAATTCCAGGCGTGTCATTTGGATAGAAGGTTTCAGCAACTGTATGTAGTTGCACTGTTTCGAAGCTTAAAAGAAAAGCAATTGCTTTAGATTTTTACTGTTATTACTTTTCTCTCTGGTAAAGATGAGCTGGAAAGGAAAGGAGAACATTTCTCTCTCTCTTTCTGGACTGATTGATTGATTGGAAGAATGTGTTTAGCTTCTGTAGGTAGAAGTCCTTTAGGGTCATTTTCGAATGTTTTACAATGACTTCAACCTTCCTCACAACCTCCCAGTGTGTTGGGACGTCATTTAAAATTCCCACCTAGCATAGCTTTTGGCTGGGTATGGTGGGAACTGTAGTTCCAACACATCAAGATAGCATCAGGTTTGGGAAGGGCTGTAAACACCTTTGTGTATTACCAGTTTTTTAGCTGAGTAACCAAGAATTTTGATCATCCTAATTATTGAAATCTTGAGGAAAGGCTACTTTTGTGAAGTCCACGAATTCAGCATAATTTCATGGCCCATGTTGGCCCCTTTGAAAGAGTAAGTTAATAAAAATACAGTAGTAGTAGAAATGTTGTAATGTATTTTTTTTTTAATGATATTTATTTTTATTTATGGGGATAAAGTGTAAGAAAACATTATTCCAGCACATTTTTTTCTTTGTGTCCGTGTGCATGATACGTTACAAATATCATCTTTAAAAGTACAGAATCAGTTTCCACTTTTATAATGGCTGCAGTGGAACGTTTTCCCATTTTGTGCTTTAAACAGATGACAGGCAAAGATTGCACAGATAAATTCTTTATATAATGCAATTGGACTGATCAGCAAAAATTCAACTGAAGGAGGTTGGTATTTGTTAGAGTCCTCCACAGAAAAAGGAGATGCCAAGATTAAGGTTGAAACAGTCTTTGTTAGAAAAGTAAGTAATTTTAATTTACATTATAAAAGAGAAAGGAGACAAAGAAATAGGAAAGATGAATATGGCTGTTTTGAAAAAATACACCATCCTTTGAAACAAATTCAAGTTTTAATTTTTTTTTCTGCACAGATTTTCTATATTGACATATACTGTAATTTCTACGACATACACAATGTAATTATGTGAAAATACCAAATTAGTTATACACATAAATAAATACATTTGCTTCAGAATACCAAAGTATTTTTTAAAAAATCGGCATCATAAAACCACATTTTCTCAGATTTATCTAAAATTCTATATAGTTTGAAACAAACAAAAGAATGCCTGACTGCTTAAACAGGACAAGACAGTCTTGTGCAAATTGACATAACACATTCTAAGCATTATGCAAAAAACGACTGCTTAAATATTTGTTCTTACTCCTAATTGTTCTTAGACTGCACACCCCTCCCTCCTTAATTCAAACACCATTTAAAACAACTTGAGACAGGAACGTGGTCAAAGTCTATTAGAATGATCATTGGTTTGTTTTAAGAAAGGCACAGTGATGAATTAGAATGTGTTAGCCATGAGAGAAAGCATTGTTAGCAAATTTTGTTCACTTGCACTCCAGGTTCTGCTTTCTACAACTGACAAGCCAGCTGACATTTAAAATATATGCGCACACATATTTTTGAAGAGACAGTTAAATAATCTAAATATTCTGCCTCAATGCTACACATGTTTGCCTGCAGCCTACTAGCAATATATTTTGTATATTTTACCAACCATTTAGTCTGTGATGGGATGAACCTTTCAGAGTAACTGCATATCAGTATTCTGGCCCGGCAGCTTTTGCCTGAGTCATAACTAGGAATTATAACCTACCTGTTCATTGCTTGCCATTTTTCAAGCCAAAGGACAACTACAGTAATGGTGCAATTTCTTGAGTGCTATAGAGGTGTGTATATTTTGAATACTGTACTCTACAGATGGCATCTGATAATGCAGCACCAAACTTCTGATGCTGCAAACCTTGCTGGATTTTGAAGGGCTGATGTGAGCACTGAGAGAGGAGGAGCATCTAGCTATAATTTTTCCCAGGAACCCCCAAAACTGATAACATTTGAGAAAATGCACAAGTCTCTCACCAGCTTTTCTCAAAATGTCTTTCTAAGAGAATTGTAGGCCAACAATCTAAAGGGAAGCCTAGAATATGAAATGATGGTGAGGGTCCAGGCATGTTGGTTGGCCTTGGTTACTATCCCAAGTGTCCTTGTCACTGACTGCTTTCCCTGAGAGGCAACAGCCAGTAGGTTTAGATGGCTGGTGGATTTGGTGGTGTAGAAGACCCTTAACCTGCAGAGTTCACCCTGTAAGATGTTGCTTGGCGTAGAACAGAGGGGACTTCCATCATTGTAATAAGGGGAGTTACAAACCAGGGCATGTAGAGGACATCAGACGTGACAAAGTCTGGTTTAAAGCTTCAGTGCCAACAAAAAGCTTTCTGGAGGGCTTTTTGCCCTGATAATGCTTTCTGAAACCTATAGTTAGTCCTTGAAAAAATATTTTTAAATTGGCACTTCCTTTATGAAATCTAAATTCAAAAAATAGTTTTCTATGGACTAGCTTCCAGCCAGCCTAAATTATAAAACTAACATGCAACCAGGGCAGATTTTGGGATACTTGGAATTAAATCCCCAGAGATTTTCCAAGTCAAAGGCATAGGCCAAGGAGGAAATCAGATTTTAGGCTATAGTGCTAATGGGGGGGGGGGGGTAGCTCTTTCTTCTTGTCCTGTTTTCCTACTCTAAATACTCCTGGGGAAGTTTTTAGTTAGCCTGGAAAACAATACTAAAAAGAGAAACTAAGCAGCTGGTTTATTCAGTGTTATAGCATACTTGCCAATATTCCAGAATCAGAAGGTGAGACATGGTTGTTACAATGTGCCTTGCAAAGCACATCATGCATTTAAAAACAAAAATGTATACTTTGCTTCTCTGTCTCACTGATCCCATAGCATGTATTCTATTTCTCAAGCCACAAAGCAATCATCTTTCTTTAGGTCCAACCAAACAAGACATCCAAATCATGTTTTCTTTGATATGTTCTTCATTATATTCACACGAG